CGCAGTCGTTTTGTTCGACTTTGTTCTTCCAAACATTTGATACACTTGTCACACTTTTACACCCACGCGTCGTAAACCTCTCGCGAATTCAGACGAGTGGATTGCTCCAACAGTTCTCGTTCGATTTGAGCGAAATCTTCCATTTCTTTATTAACTACAGAGAATATTCTGCTCTCTGGAATGCTTTACTTTATACTCTTTCCACTAGAAAAAGTATATGAAATTTTTCCAACACTGATATATATAGATTCTCAGAGGTATAACTTATTTTAAACACGAAACCCTCGATATGATATCAATATTTTCAAAGACTTCAGGTTTAGACATGTGTGAGCCAGATGGGTCTAACCCAAAATAGCTTTATCTTTTCACATGACACAACACTAAGTTCTTCAAAGGATGTGACCTACGATATGACACAAAATTTTTCCAACACTGACATATATAGATCCAGGTATAACTTACCTCAAACACGAAACCTTAGGTTTATAGTATAAGGGTTTATAGTAATAGGGATATAGTATGAACATTTTTCAAAGATAAAGTATAAATATCGTTTTTTATTTGTACAGAGCATTATTTATTCTTATGTTCTTCTTGGAGCATTATGGCTAACGTTACTTCATTGACATATGACTGTTTGATTGGTTGGCTATGACAATGTGTCATAAATTCACTTTCTCGTTTTGAAAAATGTATCTGGGCATGCGCTACAAATGTTAATAACTCCGGAGTAAAAGGAGGGGATGCATTAGTGTATAGTAGCTATAATATTAGGCTTCGGAAAGAAACTTCTGTTCCCTCAGTCGCTCTGTCAAGACGAAGTTCATCGGTTGTGTGTCTACATAGTAAAGTTTAAATGTGTTTACATAGTAAAAATGTACGCTGCCGGTGTTAAAGTGAACGCTAAGGACATGAATTATTACACACCGAATTAATACGAGGACGAAGCTCCACCGTGCAAGAAAAATAATGTGTGAGAAATGTGTGAGAAATAATAATGTTATTTCATTTTTTTAATTTATTCGCAGTATTTTTTTCAAGATTTAAAAGTATAAATTTTTTGTTACATTTTTCCCAGGGTTTCACAATCGCCTTCTGCAACGCGTACCTTAGGACGCAGATACGCATTGACTGCAACTTCCTATAAATATTGGGTTAAGTAAAAAGTTTTGAGCGTTTTCCGCTAGATGGCTTTAGTGAGGTCATATCTCACGATGTATACGTCACATCTGGTCATTCTATACTACGACTTAAAGGTGACATAACGCTTTAAAAAAAGTTCTTTGACAGTTTTGTGTTTGGTGAAGCCAGTTGTATGTTAGAGCGTTCCAAAATGGAGATAAAAAAAGAGAAAATTCGATATATTCTTCAGTACCACTACGATCAAAGGGAAAAAGTGGAACAGGCAACCAAAAAAATTTGTGCTGTTTATGGACCCAATACAGTATCGAATGCAACAGCAAAGCGGTGGTTCCAACGATTCCGTTTTGGTAATATGGACGTCGAAGATGAGACACGCTCTGGTAGGCCAATCGTCGAAAATGTCGATAAAATCATGGAAATCGTCGAGTCGGACCGGCATGTAAGCACTTATTCCATTGCCCAGGAACTGAAGATTAGCCAGAAAACCGTTTGGAACCATTTGCATAAGGCTAGTCTCAAAAAGAAGCTCGATGTATGGGTGCCACACGAATTGACGCAAAAGAACCTTTTGGACCGAATTCATGCCTGCGATTCTTTACTGAAGCGTAACGAAATCGACCCATTTTTTAAGCGGATGGTGACTGACGATGAAAAATAGTTCACATACGAGAACAACAGGCGAAATAGATCGTGGTCCAAGCGCGGTGAGCCGGTCCAAACGATTGCCAAGCCCGGATTAACGACCAAGAAGATTTTACTGTATGTTTGGTGGGATTGGAAGGGAATCATCCACTATGAGCTGCTCCCATCGGGCCAATCACTCAACTCGGACCTACACTGTCAACAACTGACCAGATTGAAACAGGCGATCGACGAGAAGCGGCCAGAATTGGCCAATAGGAAGGGTGTTGTGTTCCATCAAGACAATGCCAGGCCGCACACATCTTTGACGACGCGCTAGAAGCTCCGAGAGCTTGGATGGGAAGTTATATCGCACCCGCCGTATAGCCCAGACCTGGCTCCAAGCGATTATCACCTTTTCAAGCATTTGCAAAATTTTCTTGATGGTACAAAACTGACCTCAAGAGAGGCTTGTGAAAATGAGCTGGTCAAGTTTTTTACCAATAGGGACGAGGACTTCTTTAATCGCGGAATTATGAAATTGCCTTCAAAATGGACAAAAGTTATCGAAAAAAACGGCGCATATTTGATTTAAATCCGATAATCCTAACTTTGTTAATTTCATTGTCGAAATAAAGAGAAAAAACGCTCAGAACTTTTTACTTCACCCAATATTTGGAGATTGCGATCAACGTGGGAGCTGAGTACACTGTGGATTTAATCATGGATGACAATCGTAACAATCAATTAATACTGTCAATCATGGAACGCACTGATGGAGAAATATATTGACGTTCAACGGCTTCTACAAACCGATTTCAACAAGCCACAGTCTTCCCCGATGCATGTAGAAAAATTAACAATAATGCTATGTAAGATGTACAACTCAGAAATTGTTAAACTTACAATTTTTAATAATTGCTTACATATAAAACCAAAGACGTTAAATGTTTTATTTACTTTTGAAAATTGCATCAATCACATATATGGATGATTATCAGAAAATATCTGTATAGTTAGTATAAAATTCAAAAGTTTTGTAAATATCCTTCGTGAAAAGAAGAATTATATTATTGATATACACACTGCGAGAAAAACAGTACAAGAAAGCAGTGACTTTGATTGCGAGTTGCTCATTCATTGTGAACTGTTAGCGTGGGCTTTAAAAAATATAATATATGAAGCCACGAACAAATAAATGATAATCTGGAAAACATAAAATTATGTATAAATTAATTCTATATGTCTCCTATCTTACTTCCCGTTCAATCTTTTAAGAAGTATCTATGCAAGTATGAGCGATGATAAAAATACAGTACTTTATTTACGATATGATGCTTATTAGATGTTCCAAAAACGTTCGATAGGCATTTGACAGTGGTTCGATATGATATGGTAGATATTTAATACATGTTTAATAGTGGTTCGATATGCTACAATAAACGTTCGATAGATGTTCAATAATGGTTCAATATATGTTTTGATAGTAGTCGCTGAAAAACTGCAGATGAAGACTATGTCTCTCCAACTCTGTCCGTTATTATAATACACAGTTTGAAAAGCTTTACTGCGCGCTCCCTAACAAGAGCCTACGGTGATCTAAATGGTAGGACCATTGTACAGTAAACGAAGTCCAGGTTCGAGTTTGGCCTAGTTTAGACTTATTTTTTTCTTTCGTCGTATGCGTGACGTCATCACACACCATAAGATACTTCACTATGCATCTGCGAGTCTACGATGGTGTAGGTGGTAGGGCCATTGCATAGTAAACGAAAGTTTTAAGTTCGAATCTTGATACCAACTTATTTTTTTCTTTGACGTATTGTGACGTCATCATACGTACTTTGAGAAACTTCACTGCATGCCCGCTGGCAAAAGTCTACGGTAGTCTAGGTAGTAAGTCTGTTACGCAGTAAACGAAGAGTCCAGGTTTGAGTCAGGCTCGGTCTCGACTTATTTTTTTCTTTTGACGTATGCGTGACATCATCATACACACTTTGAGAACCTTCATTAGATGTCTACTAGCAAGGTATAGGCGACGGTGGTCTAGAAGGTTGGAGCGTTGGATAACAATGAGGGCCCAAGTTCTAGTCTAGCAATATCCCGCCACATTTTTCTCTGGACATATGCGTGACGTCACGGCCGCCATTTTGTCCATAGAAGCAAAAAATTCTGGGAAAGGGGCGAAATATTAATAAAAATATTTAATTAATAAAGAACGGACTTTGCATAAATATTTTGCAATTTGGGTTGGAACCCGCCTTGATATACTACTAAACATGAATATTACGTGAGCCAATCAATTGTGTTGACCGCGGCTATCTTCGATGTCAGTACCCAAAGCAACAATAGACGCAGAAATAAAACTTGACATTGTTTCAATGGGGGTCTAAATAATTAACGTTTATTTAAAATATGCGCGCATACACATACATGTTAGAAGTGCAAATCCGACCGTGCAACCTCGATGCGGTACATCTTGAATAATATTAATGCCGACAGTACTACAGCTTTTGAGCATCATACCTCGCAAAGTACCTAATGAAAAAATGTTTTAGTGTAGTTTTTTATCAAGTTTCCGAAATAAACTAAATATGCAATAAATAGTAGAGAATTCTATTTAAATAAATAACAGTTAATTTTGGAGGTATCTTAAAAAACGACCTCTACGAAAAGGTCAAAATTATATTTTTGTGCCCTGCTCCAAACCCTGTGTATAGTTTTAAATGACATGCTAAAAATGGAACAATAGAAACGAAATATTTCTAATGTCTGTTTCTAATCACTGAATATTAAAAAAGTAATGATAAAAGTAACGGCCAATCAATTTCGTTACTCGTTACAAAATAAAATGTAATATCGTTACTTTTTTGTTATACATAAAAATAAGTAACGGTGGTATCAAATCGTTATCAAAAAGAAATAGTGCAGCAATAATAGAATCATAATGGCAAATAATGCATAATTTTTTTTTTAATTTGATCAGAAGATGAGTCATTTTATAAATATAAATCAGCCAGTTATCTGAAAAATGGCAAAAAATTACTATTTATGATAATAATTATTTTGATTGAACATTGCACATTGCTATTTTGTAATTGTTACAAAAAAATGAATGTTTAAAAAGATATTTTCACAAAAATCTAATATAATATATGCAAATATGTGTCTTTATATGTGTGTGTGCGCGCACGCACATTTTTTCCCACGAGACCTAAAAAGTTTTCTTTAAGGTAATGCGAGCATCATCCTCATACTTAATGCTACTACGATCTATGCAGTAAAAAGTTTCGAGCATAATCGAGGATATTTATCACACAGGATGTTATGTGTACTACGATTTAACAACAGTTAACTCATATATTAGTAAATACCTATAGCGTTATGTATGTATTATTTGTGCTTTTAAATAAGATTTGTATATTATTAAGTAAAAAATCTATCTAAAGTGATATGTTTAGAATATACATTACCAAAGATACATAAATAAGAATGACATATTAATCTGTACGAATGTGTATACCTAGATTGGAGAAATGAAAAAATATGTGATTGCACTTATTATTGATTCCGATTATTTTTCTATTCATGTCTCTGCTAAACAAGTTCATCTATGAAGGATCTGACCACAAATTCGAAAAAGTAGCTAAAGTTTTAGATGCTCAATGAGGAGTATCATATTGCTCTAATTATTTGGTTGACCTAGATACTTATTTCATTCCGATTTATATTCACACGGCCATGTGTGTATAAGGAGTTTCAGACCACCCGGATCACCTGATTTTTTCGTAAACGTAACATTTGAGAGAAAAATGTTTCAGACAAAAGTTATAGGTTTTAAGTGACGCATCAGTGTGGTATTAGTATGACCTCGAATAGCGTTTTCAAGGTCACGTGAAGGTTACCTTCAATTTTTTAAATGAAACCCCTCATTTTTCATTACATATTCTTGTATTTTATCTCGAAAGCTTTGCAAAATACTATAATAAATTATTTTTCTATTAAGTACTTTTTGAATTATAAGGACTGAAAGTTAGAATACCTCCGGCATTAGCATTACCTAAGGTGTACCGTGTGAACGTTACACGGTCGGATTTATACCTTTATTGTGTGCGTGTGTGTATGTATGTGTCACAACAGAGATAAGGACGCCACGGTTCGTCACTCTCGTAGTATTTATCGACTTCAAACCCTCTCTGCTGCTGTGCGTGTGTGTGCGTGTGTGTATGTGATTAGGCTTTATGTTCGAAATGTTCATCGTTTACTTCAATGCAAGCAAATACTCTTATCTTGAAATTATTTATTGTACGAAGAAATTTATCAGCATGCAGAGAACAAATAAAATCGCGTATTCTCGAATCACACACACACACACACACACAAAGAAGATTTGAAGTTGATAAATACTACGGTGACAAATCGTGACAAACCATGAGGTCCTTATCTTTGCTGTGACACACACATATACACACACACACACACGCATGTACGCACACACCAACAAAGGTGTAAATCCGACCGTGCAACTTCCACGCGGTACACCTTGGGTAATGCTAATGCCAGCAGTACTCTAACTTTCAGGCCTCATAACTCGAAAAATATCTAATGAAAAATAATTTATTATAGTGTTTTTCTCAAGAGCTTTTTCGCAAAGCTCTTGAGATAAACTATAAGAATATGCAATACAAAATAGGGTTTCATTGAAGGGGTCCATTGAATTCCATTGAATGGGGGTTCCATTAAAAAGATTGAAGGTAACTTTCACGTGACCTTGAAAACGCTATTCAAAGTCCTACTAATACCACTCTCTGATGCGTAATTTAAAACCCCACAACTTTTGCCTGAAACATTTTTCTCTAAAATGTCGCGTTTACGAAAAATTGGGTGATCGGGTGGTTTGAAACACCACATATATTGTATGTATTAGTTAAGTGTAAGATTTGTAACTAATTTCTCTCAAAATCAAGCAGTAATTTGATAAATAAAACTTTTTTATCAATCAATGATATAATCGTTATCGTTTCCTACAATCTTTTTCCAATATTCTGGTAGCATATGAATTCGGATACGTATTGATAATATAATAACCTCGGTCCTATATTAGAAAAAGAAGAAAAGTGATTTTTGATCTGAAAAGTGATTTTTCCAAAGATGCGATTTTTTTCCAATTCAAATCGTTCGTCAATAATCAAAACAATTGATAATGTTGTAATGCGATATCAAAAAAATACAATGGATATAACATCCCACTTTAGTTCCTTTAATTTGCGCAAAGTCTGTTTTGCGGTGTATGCTTTTGCGTTGTCGGAGTGAAAGACGACTCTCTTGTAATTGGTCATTATTGGACGTTTCTTTTGTATTGCTATCGTTAAATTGTTTAATTCTTGACAGTATATGTCAGAAATAATCGTTTGGTCAACGGGAAGTAGTTCAAAATGAAAATGAATTATTGCTTTGCAATCCCACCAAATAAAATCATCAACTTCTCAGGATGCAAATTGATTTTTGCCTCTGATTTTGCACGTTTATTTGCTTCTTTTCAAATGTGTTTGGAAGATGTACTAGAACTTACTCATAATGTTGGCAATTTGATGAAAATATTCACAAAGAAGAGTAGAACTTATTTGGTCATTGCTCATAGTATTCAAAGACATTCTAAGACAATACAATTAGTATACTCTCTTTGCAACTATTTTCATGAATAGTAACATATAATAAATTAAAATATTTATGTTTTATTATTATAGATAGATAGATTTATTGATATTCTAGGATCATTATTCGTGCTACTTCTTTTTTTGTATATATTAGAAGTATGGTTTAGTTTTGAGAGATGGCACTAATGTCAGTTTTATCGAAGACATTCCGATCACGGTTATTGTTTCTTAATACTGTTGCGCTCACTCTCGCACTCGCGCTTGCACTCAGGTAAATGAAAACACTCGCGTAAGAATAACAAGCTTTTCTATATACAGCGCAGCTCACTCAAGCTTTAAACAAGAATAATTCTCTGATCTACAATTCTCGCGTCTGTCTACGATGACAGCTGGTCAAAGACTCTCTGTCAGCTGCTGTTTATTTCTTATTGATTTTCCGTCGTCCAGACAATCTGTTCAGTTGTCAAAATCAGATGCCTAAGGCTCACGGACAACGGACGCCGCCACAAACCTTGTGGCTCGGACACAACACTGCTCCCCCTCTTCGAAAAATTGTCGTCCCGACAATTCTCTTAGGCAAGGTCATCCTCTTCCTTGGCTCCAGAGATCTTCATGACTCTTGTCCTACCCTGAGCTGCTGCTACAAGTTACCGGACTCCATGAATTCCTGATCTCAATCAAAGATTCTGAATATCTTGACTCTTCGCCTTCAGAACATTATCTCTATCCCCGTCCTCTAGGAGGTGATCAGTCTCCAGGACCTTTCTAAAACGATCCGCTTGTTGTTCCGTTTCCTCCTTGGCTCCTCTTTGGATAAGGGGGGAGGAAACTACCGTGGACCCAACGTTCTTTTGAAGAATACCCCGAGTCTCTGCCTCGGCATTCGCCCAAAGCCCCACGGAAAAGCCACGATCAAAAACCGTGGGGGAGGCAGTCTTCTTAAAATCTTCTCGTTGATGTTACAACCGTTCCTTTCGAATTTAAATCTTGCGCCTTCTTAGTAATATTTTCCCCTGAAACAAACAAAAATAAAGGAGCGTATCTTTTTCAAAAAAAAAAATTGAATAAGTTTCACGGGTATCGGATATATCCTTTCCTAATTCTCAATTCCTCTTTCTTTGTAAAATGCTAATCTATCTGCATGAACTATTTTCTTTTTATGCTTCGGAGACATTTGGATACAGTATACAACGTCACTCAACCTTTTAATTACTTCATAAGGTCCTTCCCAATTTTTTTGAAGTTTGGGAGTTCTTCCTTTCTTCCGTTGTGGATTAAACAACCAAACCTTTTGACCAATTGAGAAAATAATATCTCATGCCTTTTTATCATGAAAAGGTTTACCCTTTTCAGACTTTAGTGATAAAGAATTTCGTGCCATTTTATGAATAAAATCTAACTTGTTTTTTAACTGAGGGACATAAGTTTCCTCTGACAAATTTTCCTCATTGTCAGGAGAAGTTCCACGAAGGAGATCTAAAGGAATTCTAAGGTTTCGAGCAAAATAAAGCTCTGCCGGAGTAAATTTCATTGTCTCATGTTTTGCAGAACGATAAGCTAAAAGACACATAGGAATCCATCTATCCCAATCTTTTTGATTTTCAGAAATGAATTTTGCTAAATAACTTAATATTATTCTTTGCTGGCGCTCAACTTGACTGTCAGATTGTGGATGCAAAGCAGTTTTTGCTTGTTTAAGTGGACCAGTTTTTGAGAAAAAACCCTCAAAAGTAAATCATACTCCTAATTGTACTCCTAACTTATATCATCTTTATTATAAGCATTGTGGAATTTCAGGTGCAAAAAAGGCTTAAAGTATACGATAATTGTCTAACGATTTCTAACGAACTATATTATGTGCTTTTCTCTAGATAATATCAAATAGAATATTTTTTAATAGTCAGAATTTTCATATAATATAGTTAATAATCCTAATAATAATTTTGCTTTCTTATAACAATTCTTGTAAAATTTAAGCCTTTTAACAAATTTTATAATGTATGGTCAACGTATCTCAATCATAAACAATGTAATTTTCGCTGTAAAAACTACTCTGTAAAGTCGAAAATTTGATGAGCGGTTTTACGTCAAACAACTCGATTGCAACGATTTTCATTGTGTGTGTCATATTTCCCGAGACTTGTCTTTTTCTAATACAATTGCAACCATTATGGGTTGTATATTCATACAGCACGATATCTTTAAAATAATTCGGACTTAAACGGTTTTCCAATGGAGACTTTCATAAAATCTGCGAACGTACTATACCGTGCAATTTCCACTGGACAACTTTGCGGCGACAATTAAGGGGACTGGAGGGTCAGATTGCTGAAAAATCGTGCTTATTTTTGATAATGTTTTGTGACGAACTGAATAAATGTGCAAGAATGAAAATTTTAGCTATATTTATACAACATATGAAAAGTAGAAAAATTTTGTTTATTAACGAATACTCGTATAAATATATGATATATATAGCTGAAATATACTCTGCTTTTTTTTCAAGTTATCGTTTTTGCAGTAATATCTCGGCTTTCGGTGGTCCAATCAAAGTGAATTTTAGCTAGAAATCTTAAGGAGGCTTATTAATATTCGGTGAACCACTAGAAAAAGAATCGAACAAAATTAACAAAATGGCAGTTATTATTAGGAAAAAATTGAAATTTTTCAGTTCTTTTACAATAAAAAAATTAATATCTCGAAATGAAATATTTTGACGGAGTTGTCCATGATTCACCTGAGAGCCATATGAACAAATATTATTGCTTTAAAATTTCAAATCGGTACGAAGCTCAGTTTTGGAGAAATCATTGCAAAAAGTTGAACAATAAAATTTCGAGAAAAACGCGTTTAAAATTTAAATGGACGTATATTTATATGAATATTTTTTTAAAAACAAAATTTTTCTACTCTTCATATATTATATAAATATATGTAAAATTTTCATTCTTGCACATTTATTCAATTCGTCACAAAATCATTATCAAAAACAAGTACGATTTTTCAGTAATCTGACCCTCTAGTCCCCTTAAGCAAAAACCAACCCGGACTATAATAGATACTGACTGTCGCTATCAATTACGAAAGGATTTCTTTCGTACATTTTTGTAGCTCTAACTCTAATGGCAATGTGAGCGTGCACACCGCGATACACGGTAATCAACGTTGAAACGGAATTTTTTATAAGCGACTGACGTGACTCGGAACTCGAGACATACGAGTTTTACTTTTATAAAGCGACAGTGATAGAGGCAAGAGAGAAGATGGATAGTATCGATAAGTTCTTTCAAGAGTCGCATTACAATATTATTCGTGTTTTGCTGGGGACTATCGGCCTGTGGCCCTTTCACAGCGTAACAAAGCGATATGCAATTTATTTCGGATTCTTATTATTAATCGCATCCGGATTGATATTCCAGGTACACAGTGGGAAAGTATTTAAATTTTCACTAATTATTCAGCACCATAATATAGTAATAATATAGTCGACTGTGACTGTCTAGAAGCTAGTTAAAATCACTAAATATGATGATAATTTATGTGGAACAACGTGCATTCCACTATGACCTAAAGGGTTAATACGTTAACTGCCATGAACAGCTCACTGATGATTTTCATTGTAATATTATAATACGATTCATTTACAAATTAAATGTAACCTTAAATTTATATAATTAAATCTGTACAAATAAATTAAATATCTTCAATAGAGATGAAAATAATCTAGATAATATATATATCATCGATCATATTTATTTATATATCATGAATAAAGCAAACTTTAAATAAGCTTTGAAATCATCGATCGAAATTAGTAGGGCAGTCAACGTGTTGAAATGAATCATTTTCATTAGATGATTGATGTGCTGATAATGCAAAACAAGAACAAAAGATTAATACGTATCATATAAAGTTAAATAATCTATTATGCATTTGTCACGAAACTGTATAATGTAATTGTGATGAATTTAGGTGTTGGGTATGATTGAAGTTTGGACAGATTCTTTCGAAGTGATCGATTGCTTGCCGCTATTAGTTTTAAGTGTTCTTTGTGTATCTAAAGTAATCTGCTTGATATATACATTACCCAAGGTGTGTAAATAAGAATAACGCAAGCTCAGTCGACCAATGTGATTATATTAAAACCATATATTATCCAAAAGAGAACGAATTTTATATCGAATGTTACCTATTATTGAATTGTGTGACTGCAGATCAAGTATCTTTTGATTCAAATGGAACGATATTGGTATTCTCCAAAATCGGATAATGAAAATAAAATTTTGCATTCTTACGCAATAAACGGACGTAAATTCAGCTGTGCGTATACAAGTGAGTATATACTTCATGTACATATACATCGTGAAAATATAGATATTTTGACATCATTTGCATAAATGTTTTCACATACTTTTGGCGAAAGTGGCTTAACGAATTCATATATTAATCAGTCGTGTTGCTCGGTCATTCTCCCTTCTTCCTATCCGCGACTCTATTGACTAAGTTTATCCACACGGGAGTCAACAAGAAATTCGATGGATCAACAAATATCGTAGATGCCCAAGCTGGAGTACCGTATCGCGTTAATTACATGGTCGACTTGGATACTTATTTTGTTCCGATTTTCCTACACACGGCCATGTGCGAAATATCGTACATGATATTTTTAGTCGCGGTCGACGTCCTGTATATGACGTTTGTGCAACATTGCTGTGGTTTACTCGCAGCCTTAAGGTAGTAATACGCATAATACATGTGTGAAATATAGATGTGTCAGTGCTTTTTTTTCAATTAGCGGCTAAATTCCTGTGTCATTTAAGAATTAGAGACTGCCATGAGTGAAATTCCACCTCATGCGAAAATTTTTTTGATCTTATTAAATGTTAAATTATTTGCTGCAAATAATAAATTCTCTATTTCTCATCTGATATTCAATAATAATAGAATATTTAATTGTATTTATTTCTTTAATCTCTAAAATAAAAAAAATATACTGGAATGAAATTTCATGATAGCATTAACGTGATTTTCTTTGATGGTAGCTTTTGGGAACTAATGTCATAATTTCAATTTCCTTACTTCTAAAACATATGATATCTTAGATATACCTTGGAGAATTCATTCGAATTTGAAGGCAATGTTGATGGATTGATGACAACATATATGAAACACTCGAAGAACAACAGATCTTACTCGATTATTGCTTACTGTATTCGAAGACATTCTGAAGCGATACAGTTAGTATCTACGATCTCTTGTTACTTTCATAAATAGTAATAATAAGTTAATAATACGCGAATTATAAATTAAGACGTTTCTATTTATTGTGATAGATTCATTGATATCCTAGAGTCGTTATTCAGGCTACCGCTCCTCATGCATATGGGTTGTATCATTACTATTATCAGTATCGTAGGATTTCAGGTATATATCTATAGTATTTCGAATATATATCAATATGCAACGACTTCATTGAGTTGTCAAGTTGTATTCAGGTCATGTTTTTTCAGGTGATAACAAATGCGGAAAGCATGAGCCGCGTTTTACGTCATTGTATTTATTTTAGCGGATCTGTTCTTAACGCGTTCTTTGAGAACTGGCAAGGTCAGAAAATTATAGATTACAGCGAAAAGGTGTACGAAGCTGCGTACGTTTGATGTAATAATAGGTTACACATTTTTAAAATTGAAATTCAAATCAAGTTAACTGTTCGCTGCACATCGATTATTCGAAAAATTCGATCATTTGAGACAATTGATAATATTAATCCACATACTTACAGATATAACGCGCAATGGTATGAAATGCCGAATGCAGCAAGAAAGCTCTTAATAATGATCATGTTAAGAAGTATAAAACCGTCGCAAGTAACTGCTGGCAAGATTATTATAATGTCTTACATGAATTTCAACGCAGTGAGTACAATTATTGGACGTGTATGTGAATACATATGTGTAAATGTTCCTTATTGATAGAGAATAAACAAATTTTTACTCAAGGTGATGCGTTTGTCGTCGTCGTATTTTATGTTATTGCAGTCTATGCAATAGACATTTTAAAAGCAACAGGCAATATTTATCACCTCGAATGTTGTTTGCCAATTGAACATATTGACCATTAAAGAAACATGTGTTGCGTTATGGACATATGGTTTGTATACAAGATTAAATCTATTTGTAATTTATGAAAATATTCTGACATTAGATATAAAAAGTATTGTATTCTGAGAAATTCTCACAGAAAATGGTTTATTTTTATACGATAATAAATAGTAAATAAATTATAAATTTTATATACAGGGTGAGGAAAAAATACCGGAACTCCGAAATACAATGTATATCGAAAAATATTAGGTCTAGGAAAAAGTTCGTGGCGTTTTTCCCGATAGATGGCGTCAATTGTAAATAACTCAAGTAACACAGATCGCAGCGACACTAAATGCTCGTTGGAAAGGTGACACTTCGAGCGTTACTTTGAGTGTATAAATATCGAAATTGGTGCAGTGGTTGGAAAGTTGTTTGCGTTTGAAAATGGAGAAAAGTAATGAAAAATTGCGCTATATTTTGCAATATTATTACGACAAAGGGAAGAACGCTGCGCAGGCTTATGAAAAAATTTGTGCTATGTACGGTGAAGGTACTTTATCAAAATCTACTGCGCAGAAATGGTTCGCTCGCTTTCGTTCTGGTAATTTTGATGTGAAAGATGAGTCAAGCTCTGGTCGTCCAATCACCGAAAAAGCTAATGAAATTCTTGAAAAAGTCAAGCAAGATAAGCATATCAGCAGTGTCGATATTGGTATGGAGCTAGGCATTGACCACAAAACTGTTTTGAACCATTTACACAAAGCTGGCTACAAAAAGAAGCTCGATGTATGGGTTCCTCATGAGTTGAGCGCGAAAAACATGATAAACCGAATTAACATCTGCGATGAGCTACTGAAACGCAATGAAATCGAGCCATTTCTGAAACGTGTCATAACCGGTGATGAAAAATGGATCACGTACGACAATCGGAAGCGTAAAAGATCGTGGATAAGGGATGGTGAGCTGTCACAAGCGTTCGCGAAGCCAGGATTGACGCCGAAAAAGGTGATGCTGTGTGTGTGGTTGGACTGGAAGGGAATCGTTCACCATGAGCTACTTCCAGTTGGTCAGACGATTGATTTTCAACTCTATTGTGGACAACTAGAGAGATTACGCCAGGCAATTGAAAGAAAATGGCCCGAATTGAATAATAGGAAAGGTGTTGTCTTCCATCATGACAACGCCCGACCACACACTTCTTTGATGACCTGTCAAAAATTGCGAGAGCTTGGTTGGGAAGTTTAGATGCATCCACCGTATAGTCCAGACATAGCACCCTCTGACTATCACTTGTTCTGATCTCTGTACAACATTCTCAATGGAATTAAGCTGGTTTCAAAAGAAGCCTGTGAAAACCACTTGATTCAGTTTTTCAACCAAAAACCACAGTTCTTCACCGATGGCATCATGGCTCTACCCGAAAAATGGCGAAACATTGTCGATAATAATGAAGCATATTTGGTTTAAATAAATTCATTTTCACACTATAAGAAAACCAGTTGAATTTTACGAAAAAAACGCCACGAACTTTTTCCCAGACCCAATATAATTTTTATGAAAAAATATTTCAGACAAAAGTTGTAGGGTTTCAAGTAACGCATTACATAGTAATATCAGTATGACTTTACATAGCGTTGTCAAGGTCACGTGAAGGTCATCTTAAATTTCTTAAATAGATTTTTTCATTACATATACTTGTAGCTTATCTCGAGGGCTTTCCAAAATGCTATAACTTAATGGCTTTTCATTAAACATTTTACGAGTTACAAGATAAGTTCTTGCAGCACTTCTTCAGATCTTTTCAAGGCTTATCCACTTTACCCTCTTTAAGTAAGTCATTTCGAAATTATCAAGCTTTTTATGGTAAGATATCTAGCTCACGAAGGCGAGATCGCCAATTGTCCAGCCAACTAAAGCGAGACTGTCCAGCCAAATAAGGCAAGACTGTCCAGTCAACTAAGGCAAGACTGTCCAGACATTTAAGGCGAGACTATCCAGTCAACTAAGACAAGACTGTCCAGCCAACTAAGGCGAGACTATCCAACCAACTAAGGCAAGACTGTCCAGTCAACTAAGGCAAGACTGTCCAACCAACTAAGGCGAGACTGTCCAGTCAACTAAAGCGAGATTGCCAATTGTCCAGCCAACTAAGGCAAGACTGTCCACTCAACTAACGCAAGACTGGAAAAGTTTATAGCAAAGCTGGCCACAATCTGCACATTTCGGGCGAAATTCAGTAGGTGACGCCTACCGTCCCTCTCGCACCGCTTTGCGTTCAACGGCTAGGGCGACGATTGCGGTGCACTCAGGCGTCGCTGTATAAGAAATCAGCTGGTCCATCACATTATCATTAAAATTATTTCCTCGTTTAATAATCACTTTAAAATATATATGTTTACGTGTTTAATATATATATATATATTTTTTATATACATATATTATATATATATACAGGGTGCACGATTTATCTGAAGACATTGAAATATCTCGAGAACTATGCATTGGATAAAAAAAAGTGGTTAATGAAAGTTGTTAGTCTCGAAGGGGGACATCCAATAATACCAAACTCGAACCTCCCACCCCACCCCCTGGGGGTGGGGGTTGGGGCAACTTTAAAATCTGAAATGGAAATCTCCATTTTTTATTGCAGATACGGATTCTACGCCACAAAATACGTAAATTTTGTCCGAAACTTTTTTTTTTATTCGTGATAGATGGCACTGTAATCGCAAAAAATTATATTTTCCACAATTCTCCAGAAATCATCATTGGATTGAGAAATAAAAAATACCTGTTCAATATTTTTAAAAAACATAATAAAAATTATCCCCCCCCATCCTCTCGGGGTAGGGTGGGTGGTAACGTTCAAATCTCAGATGGAAACCCGAATCGAAGAGGGAACTGCTCGACGCGCCACTGTGGGTGTATGGCGAATTACGGCTTATTATAAAAGGCAGTGCAATGCTATCTATTACGAATGAAAAAAATTGTTTCAATAAAAATTTCACGTACAATCTAATTCTGCAAAGAAAAATGTGGGTCCCCATTTGAGATTTGAACGTTATCACCCACCCTACCCCGAGAGGATGGGGGGAATAACTTTTATTATGTTCTTTAAAAATATTGAACAGGTATTTTTTATTTCTCAATCCAATGATCATTTCTGGAGAATTGCGGAAAATATAATTTTTTGCGATTACAGCGCCATCTATCACGAATCAAAAAAAAGGTTTCGAACAAAATTTACGTATTTTGTGGCATAGAATCCGTATCTGCAATAAAAAATGGGGGTTTCCATTTCAGATTTCAAAGTTGCCCCAACCCCCACCCCCAGGGGGTGGGGTGGGAGGTCTAGTTTGGTATCATTGGATGTCCCCCTTCGAGACTAACAACTTTCATTAACCACTTTTTTTTATCCAATGCATAGTTCTCGAGATATTTCAATGTCTTCAGATAAATCGTGCACCCTGTATATATATATATATATATATATATATATATATACCATGTATGCGTATACAGGGTGAGTCAATTAAAGTGTTACAGACTTATATCTTGGAAATGAATAATTTTAGAGAAAAATGTTTCAGACAAAAGTTGTATGGTATTAAATGGGACATAAGAAGGTATCACTGATTAGACCTTGATTAGCCATTTGAAGGTTACGTGAAGGTCACCAACAATTTTTCAAATGGAATGCCCTACTTTTTTGGCATATTCTTATAACGTATTTCAAGAGCTTTCCAAAACACTACAACAAAGTATCTTTTTGTTAAGTACATCCAGAGTTATGAAGCTTCAAAGTTGCAGTACCGCCGGCATTTGCATTATCCAAGGTGTACCGCGTGGAGGTTGTACGGTCGGATTTACACCTCTTTGTATGTGTGTGTGTATGTGTGTGTGCGTGCGAACACGCACATATACACACACACACGCGCGCACGCGTACACACACACAAGAGGTGTAAATCCGATCGTGCAACCTCCATGCGGTACACCTTGGGTAATGCTAATGCCGACGATACTGTAAATTTGAAGCTTCATAACTCGGGATGTACTTAACAAGAAAATACTTTGTTGTAGTGTTTTGGAAAGCTCTTGAAATACGTTATAAGAATATGACAAAAAAAGTAGGGCGTTCTATTTGAAAAATTGTTGGTGACCTTCACGTAACCTTCAAATGGCTAATCAAGGTCTAACCAATGATACCTTCTTATGTCCCATTTGACACTATACAAATTTTGTCTGAAACATTTTTCTCTAAAATTATTCATTTCCAAGATATAAGTCTATAACACTTTAATTGACTCACCCTGTATATACATACACACATACATACAGGGTGTCCCATAATTGTAGAACACGAACTCCATAGCGGCATAGAGCTAAGCGAGAGGAACAAAAAAGTCCTTTTTCATTTAGCAATATCTCACATAATCTTTTAGTAATAACCGCGTAAAGTTTGGCGTTTGTCACACCCATCGCGACCTATACACGCTCCGCGGCGAGCTGTATGCGTAGGAGCTGAGCAATAACGCGTCTCGCGCTATCGCGATGGCATCTTGGCGCTTTGACGCCGCGCGATGGTCAGCGTGAGCCGCGTTATCGCTCAGCCCCTACACATACAGCTTGCCGCGGAGCATCCATAGACCGCTCTGAGCGTGACAAACGCCAAACTTTACGCGGTTATTACTAAAAAACTATGTGAGATATCGCTAAATGAAAAAGAACTTTTCTGTTCTTCCCGCTTAGCTCTATGCCGCTATGGTGTTCGTGTTCTACAATTATGGGACACCTTGTATATAGGGTTCTCAAAAAGTCTTTGAACGATAAAATATCTCAAAAACAATCAGTTTTTGGAAAAAATGTTTCAGGCAAAAGTTGTAAGGTTTAAAATGGTCTTTAAAATGATCTATTTACTGATCTTGTCAGTTTGACCTTGGCTAGCGTCAACAAGGTCAGGGCAAAGTCACCTTGAACTTTTCAAATGGAACGCCCTACTTTTCTTGGCATATTCTTATAACGTATTTGAAGAGCTTTCCAAAACACTACAACAAAGTATTTTTTGTTAAGTATATCCCGAGTTATGAAGCTTCAAAGTTACAGTACCGTCGGCATTAGCATTACCCAAGGCATAGCGCGTGGAGGTTGCACGATCAGATTTACACCTATTGTGTATGTGTATATGTGTGTGTGTGTGTGTGTGCGTGTGTGTGCGTGTGTGTGTGTGCGCGTGTGTGCGTGTGTGTGTGTGCGTGCGTGTGCG